GACTCTTACTAAAAAAACAAACCAAAAAAACCCCCAAAACAAAAACAGTTCTGCCCTTAAGTAAGAAGCAATTTGCAATGGATAGCTTCTAGAAGAGGGAAAACTAGTTTTCTCCAATGATGTGTCACAGGGTATGTCAACCACACTCCAGGGTAGGCCTCAGGCTCAGGAGTAGTTAACCTACTCCATGATTATTTCACAAATATGTATGTTTGTGAAAGAGAGGGAGGGCAAAAGAAAGAACACAAAGTTGGGTGGGTAGTGAGGTGGGAGAGAATATGGGAGGATATGGGGGAGGATAAAGATACAATCAAAATATATTGTATACAAGTTTAGATTTTTTTTAAAAAAAGCAATTAAAACAGAACAAACAACAGAAGAAAACTGACTCAAGACAAGCATGGTAATTAATATTTGTAATCTCACTTTGGGAGATGAGACAGGTGGATTACACTGAGTTCAAGGCACACCAGGATCACTTAAAAAAAAAAAAACTGATCCTGTCTCAAAAAAATTACATCAAAATAAATAATAACTAAATATGGTGGGTGGGCATGGTGGTGCATGCCTTTAACCCCAGCACTCCGGAGGCAGAGGCAGGCTTATCTTTGTTAGTTCAATCCCAGCCTGATCTACATAGTGAGTTCTAGGACAGCCAGGGCTATATAGAGAGACCCAGTCTCAAAAAACTACGGGAACTTCCCTCCCCACAAGAAAACCCAGAAAACAAATCAACCAACCAACAAACCATGGGCTAGGGATGTAGCATGGCAGAGTACTTGACTTATCATCATTTGAGGCTCAGGGATCAACTCCCAGCATGCACCTCTCACCCTTAAAGGGTCGAGTTAACATTTATATATGTATAAGCAGTAATGCCAGGAATCAAGCCTTTATAAAATGATGTTTTTCTTGCCTGAGCCAAGTGATGGGGGTAGGGCAGCTTTTCTGCTTCACCTTCTCCTTCTGAAGTTCCTTCCTCTCCTATCTGCAGTTTGTCTGTCTCTGCTCAAGTGGCTGCGGCTTGCTCTTCCCCCTTCTTCCTCCTCTATACCCTTTATCTGTCTCTGTCTGTCCCCTTCCTCCCAAGGTTAGTGGCACTAATATGGGAGGCTGGATCTTCTGTTCTGGCCTTTGAAGGGAAGAGGGATTGGCAGCAGGCCAACTTTGTGGATAGTACAGGATGAGGTGTTCTTGCCTTTCTCTGCTATGTATGTTCACCATCTAGGCGTTCTCCACAACGCAGGGAGAGTAACGAACTTAGGCCATGTGCAATTCTTCACTCTTTTCCAAAACTAAATTAACTAATTTTAAAAATTTTATATTTATTTATGTATTTATTGAATTCCAGGGGCTGAGGAGGCAGCTCAGTTGGTAGAATGCTTGCCTAACACACACAACGTCCTGGGTTCTGTTCCTAGCCCTGAATAACATCAGACATGGTAGCACAGGACTGTAATCCCAGCCTTTGGAAGACAGAGGCAGGAGTTCCAGGGTGTCCTGGAGAACAAGACACGCTCTCAAACCCCTGCCCCCAATTTTATAATGATCCTGCTGTGCAATCTGAATTTTAAGCCTTCAATGTCTAATCTCTAAAATTCCCTCCCCCACAAAAAAAACAAAACAAAACAAACAAACAAAAAAAAAACCAGTTAAGCCTGGATATGTGATACATGCCTATCATCTTAGCACTGGGAAGGCTAAACAAAAAACAAAAAACAAAAAACAAAAAAAAACCTTTTCCAGTTGCCCTGGAACAAGTCTGCAGACAAGGATTAGCCTGAGGACCCAAGTTTAATAATCTCTATTAACATATGATGCCTCTCCAGGACTGAAACCCCAAACCTGCAAAGAAACAAAGAAACAAAGTGGACAGACTGGTGATGGGAATCAAAGAGCACACCTGCAATCCCAGAACCTCGGATGTTCAAGGTTGTAAAAAATTAATAAGTAAAATAAAAAACCTCTAAACAAACAAACTAGTGGGACTGATTGCCAAGCATGTCCCTACCTCCTTCCTGTTCTTTCTGTTTGCCAATACGAGCAATATTACAATAAGCATTTGCATTAGTCTTTTGTCTAACTGAGAAAATTGTTGCAAAGTTTGTGCTAAAAAAAAAAAAAACCCTAAAATTTAGTTCCTCATAGTTCTGGACTTTAAGAGTGATGTCAAGATGTCTGCAGGGCTGGTTCCTTTTGAGGAATGTAAGACTGTTTTATGTCCCTCTCCTAGCTCCTGTGGCTGCTAATAACTTTTTGTCCTTAGGATGTAAAAGACATATTGCTCTTGTATCTGCATTCTTCACATCACCCTCCTATGTTTGCCAAATCAACCTTTCTTCCTTTTATTTTTATCTACCAGCTATCTGTCTGTCTGTTTCTCTATCTGTCTGTCTGTCTATCTATCTATCTCTCTACCTACCTATCTATTTGGGTCTCCGTCTCACTATGTAGCCCTTGCTGGATTGGAACTTACTATGTAGACCAGGCTGGCCTCTAACTTTTCTCTTTCTCCATTTTTTTTTTTTTCTTTTTTTGACAGGATTTCACAGTTTAAATCCAGGCTCAGGTTCCTCTCTGTTTGGCTTCCTGAATCCTGGCATTACAGGCTTTCTTTCCTTTCTTTATAAGGACACCTGTCTTTGGGTTAGGTCCATTCTAAATGAAGGATGATCTCATTTCAAGATCCTTAACTTAATTAGACCTGCCAACATTATTTTTTCAGCTAAGGTCATATTCACAGATTCAAATGTATCTCTGGGGTGAATGCACTCCTGTTTCTGCTTACTTGTCTCCTTCATTGCTACATTGGGGATGGCTGTCTGAATCTAGCTCTCTGGGGCTGACAGGCATTTAACCCCTTTCTCTATGCTACACATTTGTTACCAAAAGTTAAAACAACACAAAATTTTATTTTATTGTAAATTTTGAAACCCGGAAAATATAATTATCTACTCTAATTATTACATTCTAACCAAACAACCTAATGTTCTATTTGCACCTTTGCTATTGTATTTCATTTCAGTCTTGGAGCTTTTAAAACATACCTCTTACAAATTAAAGCATGACGGTACAATGAAGTCATTCATGTACATTCAAACTGCACACATTTTTTTTTTATACACTATTGGTGACAAGTGGATGAGGTCCTTAGCAGTGTGAAAAAGATGCAAAGAGGAATATATCACAGAACTCTTATCATACATCGATTATTCAAAATTACCTTTGAACAGTCCAATCTCCCTACTGCATGCAATACTAGCAGCAAAGAACAGTGTAACCAGACTAGGCCTAAATCCATTCTTTGTCATAGTCTACTCCTCTTCTAGCATTCCCATCTTGCTACTGAAGAAACCTCGCAGGTATTTGACTGGCAAGCTTCTTGCTTTTCCGCTGTTTTATTCATTCCCTCCTTCTCTTCCTCCTTCCTTCCCTTCCTCCCTCTCTCCCTACTTCCCTCCCTCACCTAAGTTTTCTCTGTGTGGTCCTAGCTGTCCTGGAACAAGGTCTGTAGACCAGCCTGGCCATGACTTAGAAATCATGGCGTGCATCACCATTTCCGGGCTGGTCTCATTTAGGATCAATGCCTCTTAGTTCTCTTTCAAGCTGGACAGATCTTCTGTTTACAAGATATTTCAATTTTGCCTGCTATTTTTACTTCACAGCAATGTTTTCATACTCCTTTTCTGCTTGGCCAGGAAGCCATCTCTAGTCTCTTGCAAGATACTTTCCCTTCTGTCCTGGGCCTGAGGCTGACCTTGTAGTAGAGGGGAAGGAAGTTTGGTAGGGTTGAGGATCAAGTTGTGGAGGTCCTCTACTGACATTTCTGGCTGTGAGCTCGCTGAATCTTGAGGGGAATTTTGTTCAATGGACATCTGAAAAGACCTGGGGTTCACAGTTGGGTTAAGCATTTGATGGCTCCACTGGCAAGGGGTTAAAAGCCTTAAAAGCCAGCTATACATAAAATTTCCGATTGAAGCTCCAAATTCCTGCAAGCGTGGTAAAACCTGTTTTTGTTGTTATTGTGTGTGTGGTTTTTCTGTTTTTGTTTTCAGAGACAGAGTCCTCCTATGCAGCCCTGCCTAGTCTGAAACTCAGGATGTGACCCAGCTGGCCTGGAAATGCACCTGCCTTAAGGGTCATGAATGCTGGGCTTTACAGGCATCAGCCACCACGCTTGATTCTTCTTTTAAAAACAAACAAGCAAACAAACAACAAAACAAAACACTGAGCTAATACTCAGAATCAAACTATTGTTTTGCCACCTCGCTTCCTTTTCGTTTTGCTTGTGATTCTATCCCAGACTGCTCAAGTATAAGCCTGAGCTGTTAAGAGTAGCATTAGGTTACAGTAGGCTTACGATATGCAAACAAAAAGACTGTGGGGATCCCCACGCTGGACCTCACGCAGGCTACGAGACTTCCCTACCGCTGAGCTCTATCCCCAGTTCCCAAGGTTCGGCTGACAGTAAGTGAAATTCAAACGTCTCACTAAAGGAAGGGCTATGAAATTTCCCGACAGCAGGGAGATGAGGCAAGCAAAAAGCTCTGGGCGAAGTGTAAGGTTCCGCAGCCAAACGCCAGCTGCGGTCTGGTACAGACGAGCACAGAAATGTTTCAAAGGCTGGACTCTTCACATCGCAGGGAATGGAAAGCCAGCTGGGCGGGGGAACAAAGAGTGTCTGCGGAGGTGCGGGTTTTCCCGAAGGCGGCGAGCTGGGGGCTGCAGACACCGCAGTGCTCCGCGAGCCAACCCAAGCGCGCCGGTAGCGCAGCAGGACCGCGGCGCAGACAGCCGCACTGGGAGAGGCTGGCGCTACCTCCCCCGGGGGGCGGGGCCACGGCCGAGCCCTGCGCGGCAAGTGGGCGGGGCTGCCCGGAGGCGGGCGTCCGGGGATTGGCCCTGGAGGGTGGGCGGGGCCGGGCGGCGGGGAGGAGAGCCCGGGAGGCCCGCGCGCGCACTCGCGCAGGCGCGGGCACGGCGGTGGCGCGCGCGTGCTCCGTCGGGCGGTGCAGCGGCTGCGACTGAGCCGGCCATGGTCGTGGGCGGTGGGCGGGTGTCGCGCTGAAGCCCCGAAGGCAGCAGGAGGCTGAGTGCCGGGCATGCGGGTGCGGGAGCCGGGCGGGTGCCGCCGCGGGAGCTGCTGACGGCGCTGCGGGATCGGGAGCCGGTGGCGGCGCGCGGGGCAGGTGAGCGCGGGAGGCGGCGCGGGCTGCGGCGCTGGCGGCTCGGGCGGGCGCTTCCTGCCGGGCTCGGCCGCGGGCGCGCGGGCTCCGAGGTACGCGGCGGCCAGGCCTCGGGCGGCGGACACCGAGCAGCGGAGGGCGCCCGGTGGTCACCGAGGGAGCGGGTGCGGAGCGGCCCGGCCGTCGTCGTTGCGGACGCCAGGCTGCTGCGGACCCTCAGGTGCCTTGGCGCAGCGTTCGCGGCGCGATTCCGGGCTCTCCGGCTTCGGACCCGTCAGAATCCCGGTGCCGTCGCTGACGAGTCCCGCGGCCTTGACTGAAACACTCCGGGGAGATGTGAAGCGGGAACTGTGAATACTCAGCCTCCCCGGGTTGCGGGAGGCCGAGCTAACCCCGCCGTAAGTGCTCTGTGGACCGGAGCTCCTGGGAGCAGCCCGCTGCAGCATCCTTGCTGGCTCTCGCTAGTTCCAATGCAGGTTGGCATTGGGGGCAAATTTATTTCTGAACTGCTCTAGGGTTGCAGTAAGCTCAACTCGAGTTGCTTAACGAAGGAGCCTGTTATCTTACAGCGTCCAGAGTAGGATTCTGTAGTCTCTTCCTAGAATTCTGTAGTTCCTCTCGTGCAAAGGCTTACTTGGAAACCTGTCTTAGGCACGGAGTGAACTAGTGCAATGAGACCCATCAAAATTACAATTTACACAAGGTGGGAGATGGTGGGACATGTAACCTGACTTGCTTTGCTAGTTAACGCATCTGAAGTGACGCTTAAATTGTCACTTGTTACAGAGTATAAACACAGGAAGAATATGGAAACACTCCTTTTTTTTCTGCATTGCTACATCCGAAGGGAGTGACAAGTGCTTTTGTAAACATGGTTGTGGGCAGTGTTACTTACTGTCTGGTGAAGTCATCATAATTAAATCAGATGACTATTTATTCTGTAGTGCTGAATGGATGATTGGAAAGATGATTCCTAATAAAATCTCCAAGGAGTCTGAGTTTCCAGGAGTTATCACTTGCGGCCTTTTGTACTACTTTGTAAGGTTTTTGTTTTTATTTTGTTTTGGATTTTCTGAGACTGAGTTTTGCGGTATTATTATTTAATGAACTCACTCTGTAGACTAGGCTGGCCTTGATTCATTCATGCCTCTTTCTCCCTAGTCCTTAGATTACAGAATTCCGGGACTGTAAAGTGAAAACAAGAGCGTTTCCAGAATAGATTTTTTTTTTTTTTAAAGGTTTGGGTGGCATCCACTTGTCATCCTAGTGCCAGGGAGAGGCACACAGGCGGATCGTGGGGGTTGAATCACGGCACCACACACCCAATGAGAGACCCTTTCTTAAAAAATAAGATGTATGAAAGGACACTTGAGGCTGGCTTCTGCAAACGCACATACACACACGATTTTTTAAAAAGAAAGCAGAACTGTATAGGAAAAATCTATAATGTGGCAGAAATCAGGGTGCTTTGGGTTAGGATATTGCCCAAGTTTCAGAAGGCAAAAATCTGAAACTAAAATTGAAATTGTATTCAGTAAAGCTAAAAGGCTTTAAGAAACATCTTTAGTTTACCCTTGTGATTCACACACTGACTAGGACATTCCACCTTCAGGGTGTTTTTACAAAGTGGAAAAATCAGGTTGGTTTTCTTGTGCTAGAGATTACTGGCCTGACAACAAGTTGGATGTTGATTTATTTTACTTTTCTGAACCTAGGGCTTTGCCAGGCAAGTGCTTTACATCAGAGCTTATATGTCCCCAGTCCCTTTGTATATTAAAAACAGAACAAAACAGAGCGTTGCTCTGGAGCCCAGGCTCACCTATAGCTAATTGCGTAGCTCTGGCTTCTTGTATCTCTGGGCAATTCAGTGTCTACCTCCCAACTCTACCCTTCCTAGTGCTGGGAGTCCACCACACACCTGTAAACCACACCTGGTTTCATGCTGAGTTGGGGCTTAAACTCCGGGCTTCCTGCATGCTAGGTAAGCACGTTAGCACCAGCTGGGCTATGTCCCCAGCCCCTGCCTTGACGTTTTTTTTTTTGGTGTATGCATGCTGAGGATTGAACCCAGGTCTTCATAGGTGGTAAACATGCACTTAGACCATATATCCCCAAGCCTGCTTTCCTGCTCATTAAAAAAACAAAAATTTTTTTTGAAGGTGGAACCTTAGAGTCTTCTGATCAACTTGTTTTGTGAATGTCAGCAAATTATATAGAGAACAGAAGTGACTCCAGTAGCTAAATGATCTTTCTTGTCTGCTTTATAAGTGTTGCTTGTGCTACCCACTGTGAAAGGCCAAGGGTCAGAAGTGGCATCTTGGTTTGGTTCTAGACCTTGACCTAAGTCAGAGTCAAAAGAGCTGCGGTTGTACGGGTTTTGCCTGGTCTTTCTGAACCTCAGATTTTTAATTTATAGAATTTAGATAAATATGTGGCAGATAGGAAGAGGTGGTCTTGGTGAAGACACTGTACAACCTGAGAATGAATAAAGCCAAAGAACTTTCTAGGCCTTAGAGTTTTAAGGCTTTCTTTCCTCTTTCCTTTACCCTTACTCCTTGAGTTGAAAACATCCAAAATCCCTGAGGGCCTCCTGGCCCTCTTCATTTCTTTACCTGTGCTCATCCTGAATGATGTCATTCTCTTCCCTCTTTAAATATTATCACATGTTGTTGACTCAGATTTTTATCGCCAGTCCTGAGCATCATACTTGGGCTATAGCTAGACCTATGCATTTTTTTTTCCTCCTCCTCATTCTTCTTCTTTCCTTGGTTGGGAGTCTGGATAGGATGGAGCTGTTGTGGTTCTAGAGATGGATTTATTTTTAAAGTTTATGTTATGGCTATGAGCGTTTTGCTTGAGGTATGTGTGTGTCCAGTTGCCAGTGGAGGCCAGTGGAAGGCTTGGACCCTCTAGATCTGGAATTGCAGATGTTAAAATTTAAAAGTAAAAATGAAAGGGTTAAAGAACTGGTTCTGTGTAGAGTAGAGGGAACAGTGAGCAAAGAGATGATTTATGAATGCATGCCTATCATCCTGGCACTTGGAAGGCTGAGTCAGGAGGATCTCTAAGAACAGCCTGGGTTAGATGAGAGTTCTAGGCCAGTGTGACCGTCGACGGAGAGAGACATTCAACAACAATAACAACAAACAGGATTTGAGGTCAGGTGCAGTGCTGCATGCCTGTAATCCCAGCACTCAGGGAGGCAGAGGCAGACAGAACTCTGTGAATTCAAGGCCAGCCTGGTCTACAAAGGGAGTCCAGGACAGGCATGGCTACATGGAGAAACCCTGTCTCAAAAACCGAACCAGACAAACCAGGATCTGGACCCAGGTTCTCTGCAAGACCAGCTGGTGCTCTTGATCATTACACCATCCCCTCAGCCCCATTTGTAGGCATTTTAAAGGTAGTATGGTCAGGACTGGTCATTAGCTCTGGCTAGATCACTTGCATAGCATGCTTTGAGGGGTTGAAAGCCATTGTGTGTGTGTGTGTGTGTGTGTGTGTGTGTGTGTGTGTGCATGTGTGAAATATTCAAACAGAGAACTATTAGCTTCTAGTCCCCGGTCTATTTACTACTTATTTTTGGCTTAACTTTTGAGACAGGCTCTCCTAGAGCCCAAGTTGGCCTTGAACTCCTTATCCCTCTGCCTTCCTGTTCCAGGGGCTGGAATTATAGGTGTGTACTTTTGTGTCCTCAAAAGTCTTTCTCCACCCCACTCTCTACCCTTGAGTGACAGCTCCAGTGGTCATCTATTTTGTTTTGGGTTTTGGACAGTGTCTGTCTCATTCTGGAACTCACCGTGTTGCCCAGGCTGGTCTTAGACTCTTGGTGATTCTCTTGCCTTGGTCCAAGGCTTGGGATTACAGGTATGCATCTGCAAGTCACCTCTTTACCCCACTGCTCCTACCTACATACCCAGTTCTTTAAGTCTTTCAAAGTTACTTCTGAAATACATCCCAACTGAGTTGTCTTCACATTCCTGCTTGCCACCATCTCTGTCCTTCCTGGGTTGTGATTTATTGTGGCGTCCCCCTACCCCCACTCTCGTTGAGCCCCTCTTCAGTCCTTCCCTCTCTTGCCTTCTGTCATGCCTTTTTGCACCAAAGTCTAGCTTTGTAGTCCAGGCTTACCCGGAACTTTCGATCTCTCTGCCTACACCCTCTGTGGGCTGGGATTACAGGTGTGTACCACCATAGCAATCAGAGCAGTTTATACCATTCTGCTGTATCAGTGACTTCTCATTAAGAAAAGAAAATTCAACCTTATATTTCTAATTATTTTGCATATTCTGTCTGTCTCACTGTCTGTGTCTCTTTCTTTTGAGACAGGGTCCTCCTGTGGCCTGATTTTTTTGTGTAGACAGGCTGTCTTCAAACTCACAGAGATCCACCTCGCTCTGTGCCAGTGGTATGCTGGGGTCAAAGGCGTGTGAGACCATTCCGTTACCTGTATGTCTATGTGTGTGTGAAAGAATGAGTATGTGTTTACACAGGTACACGTGGCAGCAGTATGTGTAGCCTTCTCAGTCATTTGCCTCCTTTACCACATACTGCCTTACTTGGAGAAAAATCCCTGTCCTTGGATTTCTACTGACTACTTACTTGACAGTGTTGCCATATTGTATGAAGAGATAAGTCATTCAGGATCTCTCCTCGAGTCTGGCTGAAACATCAATCCTGAAAGTTGTTCAGAAGATCTGTTCCTGTAGAAAGGTCACGGAAAAATCAGAAGTGGCCTATGCCTGTAATCCCAGCACCCAAGAGGCTGAGAGCAGAACGGCTACTTCTGTAGTAGCCAGTAGTCTAGCCTGGATGTGACTCTTGTCTCAGAAAAAGAAAAGAAAAAGCAAAATCGTAAGTATGTAAGTCCATTGTCAAAGTAGAAGTACAGGGGAACATGTTGGAATTTAAAGTCTTTTGGTTTTTCAAGACAGGGTTTCTTGGGGCTGGAGAGATGGCTCAGTGGTTAAGAGTATCATCTGTTCCTCCAAATGGACCAGGGT